CTTTTAATGCAACTCACCATCTAACACTCCAAATCCTTATATGTTCTGAAAGCCCAATAAGCCGCTTAATAATACAGTCAGATTTCACCGTCATCGAATTTCCCATCGTTTCTTGTTTGCAGGTCGTCTATTTCCTGTTTGTTCTGGATGTAATTATCAACGGTTTCATATGAATGAGTCTCATAGTCGTTGGACGGCTAATTTATTGTAAACACATCGCACACCAGATAACCTAACTGTTTAATAGCCTCGTCATATAATCAGGCATGATGCGTTACATGAATACACATGTCACTGACTCTATTCAGGTGATCTACCTGAAACAGTTAGGTCAAAATTATATATTCTTAAAACCAAAGTCCTCAAAACCCATTCATACAATTAGTATCATCTAATGTTACAGATTTATGCTAAATATGAAAACACTGAATTCACAACACAAATCATTTATACCTCTTCATCTATTCAACAAAACAAATAATTTAGGAGAGTGAAACACTTGATTGAAGATTTTGATGCATTAATAAGTCACATTTGTGAAATCTTCATAATTACGAACGACTAATCAGCTAGCAAACTTATTCTGATTGATGAATTATAATCACTGATCCTTGCACTCGTCACTGCTGAAGACCTTATCTGTGCGAATTAAATAACATCAATCTCAGAAAATTTGCTTATTCACTAATTCCCATTATCATTTGTGATTTGTAAGAGAAGTTAGATATTCCGCATGAAATACACCTTTTGAAAAATTCGATATCAATTAACAGAGTCATTAGTATTTCTTCTTCTTTGAGTTAAAAGAATTGAGCCGTTATTTTAGCATGTTTAGGCAAGTGACATTGATAAACACGATGTAAACAGTGAAAACCTGTCCACTTGATGTTTTCATTTACCTTAACACCAAATGTTCTTCTTCGTGATTTATTTATAAATGGATATGCTATTGCCTTATCATATAGAACTACTTATAATATACATCTAGTTCAAATAGTCTTTTCTAAATGAATATTGTTCGGTATGTCCTTGAAAGACAAAACTGACAACAATAAATGTGTTTCTTCATTCGAAAAGTAGCACACGAAGAAAGACATTAACCATGTAGCATTTTCTCGAAAGCACTTCACATTATCCACTGATTCACTGAGTTCAGAAATCTACCAGCTTATACAAATGGAGATGCGTTCACCACACGTTGATTCGAAATTGTGTGAAACTGCCCGTTCTTCATGTTAATGATTGTGATTGATCAGTCTCTATCGGCATATTTGCAACATGAAATGATGGTTTGGATAATGATATTAGGTCACAAGACTTCTTAAGTATGGTTGATTTGTGTCTGCCAGTAGAATCTAGGAACCGAGTTCCGTCTTATATGTAACTCATCTGATAGATGTACCTGTATTTCAGTGTCAATGTTTATACCGGAATACAAATGAAGACTGGTCACAATTCAGTCATTATTATCAATAGCGTATAAATCAAATCCTTAATAATAATAATAATAATAATAATAATAATAATAATAATAATAATGTAGACAATTTATATCGTGATTTATCCACAGTCACCTCCAATCTTCTCTCATCTCCACCTGTAATAACTCGTTCAAATAACACCATCTCATTGCGATCTCATATACAAAATTATTACACATTATATTTAATGACTCAATTATGACGAAGAAAAGTACACTGGACAACAATTCTGAATCACATCAATTCTCACTGTTATTCATATACGTTCTTACTGGATCATACCTCTCCCTATATGAATCTTAGTTTATTTCAAATGGTGTCTAACTAATTCCACTCCGTGATGAAATGGATTTTAGAAAGAACTATAATTTATAGATGAATCAATGAGTGTTAGGATAACACATCTTGTATTTTGCCTAGAAATTCATTCATCCGTTTGGCAAAACCATAAATCTAATTATTAAGCTGAACCATCATCTGTAAATCATAATTCTCAATCCTCATCACATTGGTTTATAACGACTGATTGGTCACTATTGAGTGGTTATCAATGTCGTGTATACCATGTCGTTTTAATACAGATCCAATTTTATCGACCACCAGTTTAGATGACTCGACATTGTGACGTTGGTTGATACGGGATACAAACCGTGCGGGATCACTGATTCCATCAAGATTACTGGCACAGCTTGCTGACAACTGTCAAGTAGAACGATACCTAGGTCCAGGATTTCTTGTTGACTTCATCCAACCACAATATTAACTAGATTATAACCCACATCTTGCACTTCTCAGTAGGTGAACATTTACAAAATCACTTCAGCGTCACTCGAGGCTCTCACCAACACTACGTTTTCCTGGCTGCATTAGCAAATTTGTTAATAGTTATACAATTAAATATGTCCACACTTGAAGGTGCTCCTGTCTTAATACACTCAAACATAGATGATCAACTATGAGTTACATTCTCCTCATTATTCTTTAATTTCATGTCGTAATTTATGTATCATATCAAGTTCAAACATTACAATTCGTAAAGTTCTGATCTTAATGAGTGATAGCCGAATGCTGTGACGAGGAAATTTCTCAAACCATACATTTGCAACATCTAGGATATGGCAAAATTTATAAGGAATTGTCTTGTGTTCTTCTTCTCAAAGCGATGATACATCATGATAATTATTACTACTGCAACTCGTTTGCAAACTGAATGATTATGCGTTTGGCTCTACTGCACGACTTTTGCGTGAGGTCTAGTGAGATCAGTCGTTTGCTCTAACTGAACTAGGTAAAATGTGGTTTTGATCTGAGCTCTAATGATTGAAAGCAAGTTGTTCTATATTAATCATGAAACTGCAAGACAGTTAAACGTAGTCAATGAGAAAGCCTCACAATTCCAAATACATGACATAATCCAACTGTTACTTCTGCTCACCCATCCAAACCTCATCTCTTTTTCGTTCACTTTCTTATTGAACATTAAATATATTACTTACTACTATTCAGTAACTTATGTTTCTCTAGTACTATGTGCGATAATCTGGTATATTCGCTCACAGGTTTCGTGACACTCAACTGATTTCTTTGTTATTTCAATTTTATCTCCTTTGAATCCATAATAATCTATTTTCATTTCATCCATGTTTATTAAAATCTACTTGATTGAAATACTCCTGATATTTGGTAGTTCAGTTGAAATCGCATTTCCTGAACAAAACATTCAACACAAAATGTTGAAAGGTACATTTGTGTTGGTTGGTATAACAGAATAAAGCAAACAGTATAAGCCTCGTTACAGTAGAATTGTTTAAGACATCAATTAAACAAGTAGACGGATTCTTACATATAATCGGTGAACAATTTGAGTATTATCATTGGCAATAAAATAACTGCCGTGACACTGAAGGATAACATCATATGTGTAATGTCGATACGCAGTATGGTTGATACAATTGTGTAACACAATATACGTGTCTAATATTTCAAGTAACGCAAACCAAGTTCACGAATACGAAGGTATACTTGCACTGATAAAATTCATAGAAATTCAATACAGATGGAATAGATCTTATCCACCAGTTGACCGGTGGAGTTATTTTGAACTAATCATAGTTACACAATTTTGAACAACAGTCACATCGACCAAACGAAATGTACTTCACACTTATCATAGTATCGTGCAGAAAGATGAAACGGTAGTAAGAAAGCGAAAATACAAAAATGGACGTAGTATAAAGGAAGGTTAGGTAAGTAGCATTTCCGTAAATATTCTCGACAGGTTTTTGGAATTTATGACTTTTTATACCGTATGCAATATGATTTCAAAACATCTGAACCTTTAGCAAACCTTGACGTGTTTTTAAATCATGTAAAAATAGTATATCCTCTGTAATCCATTAGTTTCTTCTAATATATTTTTACTTTATACTAGATATCTCCTGATTAGCTAATATATTCAAGGTCACTTAAAATTCGTTCAAAGATCGTCCTTAAATAAGAGTCTCGACCAAACCTGCTTTTGGATGTTTGTGCAACATCAGTTGTGCTCACAACCGATGCTCGTTAAAGCTGATCAACTCAATCAACATTCGTTTATATTCTTGATGCAAATGAAAATGATCAGTGACCATTAAATGCAGTATAAAGATCAATACGACTTTTGATCAGATTAAGGTTCAGATTAGATAATACGTACTGGCCTGACCTACATAACAATTATATACTTCAATAAATGAGACAGTGATTATCGATATGAGAGAACATTGAATGAACGAAAACCATGTAAAAGTCACCACATTTGCAATTCATAGTTTATTCGATTTCTTTCAAACAATTCAATAATATCATCAACAGGATACTACTATATTACTTCCACATTCCCAATCACTATCTACACAAAATCAACGGTATAATACAAACTACAAATAGGATGATTCACAGAAACTCCCTTTCACAGTTGACAAAACAAACTCACAGTGATTAATTCACTTGATATTGTTTTTGTTTTTCATTTGTTTGAATCTTCCCATTGATGTTTAGGACTGAAATTGTTCAGTCTCTTATTGGCATATTTGCATACTGTGCGTATGCCTCGATATTGCCTTAATTTACAAGCATTATAAGCAAAGGTGGATAGTGGCTAGCAGTGGAATCCAGGACGCGCGTTTCGTCCTATTTAGGACTCGTCAGCTGGATGTACCTGCATCTCAGTGTTGATGTTCACTCCGGGACTCGAACCCAGTACCGTCCGCTTCAAACGCCATCTCGTTATCCACTTAGCTACTGAGTGCTGATAGCCACCTGCATGTGCAATTGGGTGAAGTTTAATTCACTTGATATTATTTTGTTTTTCATTTGTTTGAATCTTCCCATTGATGTTTAGGACTGAAATTGTTCAGTCTCTTACTGACGAGTCCCAAATAGGACGAAACGCGAGTCCTGGATTCCAGTGCTAGCCACTATCCACCTTTGCTTATAATCACAGTGATTAGTTCATTCGAAACTGAATATTCTCAATTACGATTCTGCCTAATCACGTACACAATAAATAGAAATGAACACAAGTGAACAAACACAGAAATTCTCATATTCATCATTCTTTCTTGTTCTACTGCATCATCAAAAGTACACAATTACAAGAGGAAATATCACATTGAGACATCACACAAACTATCAATATCTAAGATAATTTAATGTTGAGAAACATTAAAATAAATCCAGAATATGAGAAAGTGAGTAAGAACAAATGAACCATTGATGCAAATATGAAATCTTCAGATCTGTAGTAGATTGCTCTTCCTCCACAAAATATTTGAGCTTCAATTAAACTAGCCTAAAATCACAATAACAATGTACAAATTGAAATTCACAATATTCAATGCTGATTATTTGTTTATCTAATATCAAATGATTTTGAATTGTAATTCATTAACTGACATGTTTGTAAGTGAAATATGACTGCATTATTTGATGATTGTTAAAGTGATAATGTAAACACTATCTGAATATCTCTTCCTACACTCTGCTAGTATTTGTCATTTTCCAAATGCCTTGGTACGATCGAGAGTGAAGAGAGTCAACTCCTTCTCTCGAAATGCTCTCACATGTTCATGCGTATTCAACCACTGCCAGGGAAATCATAGCTCCATTACGAATCGAATGATTTACGTGACGGATATCCATTCGGTGCATTTGTGTATTTATGTTCATGTGTTTGCATAAATAGATAATAAATAAATGCACATCATTTACAGAAGATATGTTGAAGAAATCCAATATTAGTTGGTATGTTACCTAACCATAAACGGAATCAGCAAGTTTCTAAATTCATTAGTGTACCCAGATATAACGCAACAACTAATGATTACTTTCAGTATCTGAATATCTCTACAAACGTTTGTTGAAATTTCCCATAGAAATAATTATGACACGTAGTTCAGTGAAGCATAACACATAGTTATATTGATAGCTCACTGAAATGATAGGGTTTAATCTTAACTTATTCGATGCATCGATTTGTGTTGAAGGAAGGTGAATAGAAAGTAATCTCATTTCATTCAAACTATTATTCACTCACCGGAATTACGATGGCTAGAACAAGGGGACCAATTGCCCATGTCACCTGAAATTCAAAAGTAAATTATATATCAGTAGGCAAATCAACCATTTCAAAATCAGTTTCACTCGAGCCACCACTCAATCACATGTGACATCAAGTTCATTTTTGTGACACTAAATTCAATCAATCTCGTACACGTTGTATTACTGTGAGAGATAAGAAGAAAATTGAAAATGTGAGTGTTCATCAATGAAAACAATGAATGAAAATGAGACTGAGTGCAGTGCTATATGGTAACCAGTGTGAACGTGATCGTCAATGAATCTCTGTTCATATTTGATCAACAGATTTATCAATGCACACGATGAACGAGAACTCGATTAGATAATTTTTCAATTCAATCCATACTACAATGAACTGGAAGTGTCTGAATAGCAACATTATTTGTTTAAACTTTAGACTCACAGGATGAAATAATGAACCTGGATTTGATGACCATTTATTTTAACACTGATGGCATAAATACATGAACTAACAATGTTGACTATGGTGTTCTCTTTGAACACTGATGGAATTTAGTTCATAATCATTAACAATTATCAATGGTGAATTACGAGCTGAACTGCTGTACTCTCAATAATTCATATCACCAATACACTTGGAAAGTTATCTGTGAATAAACAATATTGAAAGAAATGCTCCCATCTACAATCTTCGATTCAACAATCTCATTTTCATATTTATACTGATTAAACACTACAATTCAAATATTGTCTGAACATGAGATGGTGGAGAAGATTTGTAGCTCAGGTGGATGATTTTGATGGAGTTTTGTTCTCTGAGCTGGATGGTTTGGTCGTGGAGCACAAATATAGGAACAAGAATCAAACCAATAGGAGACAAAACCAAGACAAAAAAGTAAACAATGATAAATTTAAGGTCAATAAGAACCAATCAACATCGAGGTGCACAGAACAAGCTGTGAAACGCATAAGGAGAAATTTGAACACTTCAGTTCTATCTGAAGTTTGTGCTGATGATGTCGTTCAGAAGAACGATGAAAGCTCCACGACCAAACCATCCAGCCCAGAGAAGAAAACTCCATCAAAAATTGTCTGAACATAACTGATACACAACAAATGCTATACACTGTATCGTTTCAAATGCTGAGCAATCAAATTCAGCGATTGATCAAACCAAATAAAATGGGATCTCAACAATGGTGAAACAGTGGTCGGGTTTATAGTAGCTATGTTGATGATCACAAAATGAATCATTTATACGGGTAAACGTGTTTACTTCCGGTGTGCGTTGACAACTTATTAAATAATACCAGTGGATATATAACACCGGTCTACAATGTGTCCTAAAGTCTCAACTGTCATACAATCTACTAAAATATTAACTAATTAAAACTCACCGCAGTAACTTGATAAATCCATGGGATCACCAGTACAATAATGATAAGAATGACGATAATGACATAAAACATAAACGAGCTAAAATAACTGACCAAATCACGTTTAATGTTTATCCCAACTATAAACAATAACACTGATAAAATGATGGCCAAAATCCAACTGATAAATATGAACATTCCTTCCACGTTGATTGAAAGACAGGTTATCACACCCGCGAAGTTGAAGGTCTTGAAATGAAGGGAAAAACGAAGATTGTCATAAAGACATATATTTTCCACTGAACTATATGTGCGAACGTACAGCTCAAGTAAATGATTTCGTCGAAAAGATAATTTCCTTCTCTCTTTCTTATTCAATAACATTGTGGGTTATTTTAATTGACTTTTGTATCAGCCAGACCACCTATTCAATGTTGTCGTTATTTGACAGAATTTGTGTGTTGAATTACCGTACAAGAAGAAAAATATTTTTATGTGACAATTATTTAGATGGTAGAACATGCTGAAATTGTTTAGGTATTGAGTGATTGCAGATAGACACTGTTCTTTATTCATGTAAATAGAGAATTTTCACGTATCCAACTCGTCAGTCATCGTACTGATTGTGAACCAGTGAATAGAGTTCACATAAACCATAAACGACTTTTGATAAACTGATCATCAAATACAATACACGTTTGTCTATATCTAGCCACATCAATAACTCATTTTGCACATCCACAGAATAGTGTAGTTTATGTAACGACTAACAAAATGATGTGAAATCGTATTGTGATTCTGTAGTATTAAATCAATTTTATGTTATTTTAAGCAAACGTTTTACACACATTCGTCCATTGCTATCAAATACAACTTACGAATAGTACGTAAAGGAAATCCGTGAGGTATTTCAAATGTGGAAATCTCTGAATAAAGAAAATTGCAATGGTTGCACCAATCGAAATGAAACTGTAATGTAAATGATGAATAGTCAAAATCAATTCAATAACATAACTAGATGCAATTTTGAAAATGTAGTTGAGAAAATAATGCAATGAATGATGTGGGTCGAATCGTAAAAATCTTGATAAAAGACCAAAGTCTTGGGGTGTGGCCTCCTATTATAAACTACTTCATCGGTTTGAGCATACAGTCAGTCTCGTAGCCCATACAAAATTGAAGTGACTTGTGTGGCGCATATGTATTGAGTACCTCACCTTGTGGATCAGATCTTCAGGTCAAAGGTACGAAGAGTGGCACACTAAGAAAACCGTCCGCTTCGGTTTAGGCATCCGAGTGTCATCATAGCCCACACAACATGTAACCTGTGTGGCACATATATATTCGTTGCGCCTTTGTACCGATATTTACGTGTTTAAATAAAATAAATAAGCTTACCAAATGCATTACCATTATATTTAGATGAACTCTCATTTAATACACTTACCTTAAAATAATAGCAATCCAGTAATATTGATCAAGATATTTAGTGAATTTACTTCTAAAATATTATTATGAAACTTCTGAATTATTATTAAGTGACATACATCGCCAACACTAATGCAGTCATGAACATTGATAGAAAGACTTGAAGGATATTGGTTAGAAACACCTACATTCTGAAATGAATATTTTCAACTGATTTCTACTTTCAATATTAATCGAATGCGTACTGGATCAATCATTCCAGATAAGGTGGAATCGTTACAGATTACCACTTGATTATTATATTTGATTCCATCATTGTAGATATGTGATCCTGATAAGAGAGGATGAGATATAAGATTACAATTAAGCAACTGATTATATGAAACAATCTCTATTGACTGTCTCTCTTATGATATGTGAATAGTGTAAACAAACATGTTACTGAGAGATTTATCATCTTTGACCGAAGAAAAGACAATTTACGTAGCAGTGATAAAATGGATCTACTATAGTTCGGTGTTTCTCAACAGTTGCTTCAAACCTCAGCACAATAATATTAATCAATAAATGTCGGTCTACATACTTTATGTTGGAAGAGATCTCTTCAGTGGAAATTAATGAAAACATTGAGAAGTATGAAAGAACGATATATTTGTACATGAAATCAACTGAACATTTATTGGTTGTATAAATGAATATTCTAGCAGTTTATTCAAGAGAATCATTTCGAAATAGAAGATGTTTAAGTTGTTTTCAGTGAATCATTATACTTAATATTGTTCAAGTTTTAATCAGATGATGAGAAACCGCGATATGTAATGAATATATGTTATGTCTGGTGTCTCGATTGTTCTTGTTTTAGTCGAATTTAACAATGTGGAAGCAAACAATCCTCTCAAGATACATGAAATCTCGAACTCATGAACTAACTTCAGTTCATATGCTAATATGATCTTAATGAAATGAATTTACCCGCAGACACAAGACTCACTATCTTACATCAAACTGATTATTTTATAAAATGAAGTCCTGTTTAAAAATCCTCTTGTCTGTGAAACACGTACATAACCTCATCAAATCCAGTTTCTAGAATATATAAATGTCTAGTGACATAATTATGAATGAGTTATTTCAATGCTTTCATCTAATGATCAATGAATTCAATGAATAAACATTCTAAGAATGTACAAATGAAATGAACGAATTTCGTTTAATCCATCATTGTTTCTCCTGTATGTTCACTAGTTTCACAAATTATATCCGTAATAGAAATTGAACTGACAAAAGTAGTGATATTCAAATGTCTTGTATGAATAATGATGTTTGACATTTCCAAATACCAGTGTCGTTTCTCTGTGCAGTCATCTCATTCATGATACCAATTAAATTATCAACATGTGATTAAGTCATTTCATTGGTTTAACTTGATTATTCGCAACAATGTTAATCAAAAATACATTAATGTAAATACAAACCTTCATTTGGATGTTTGTGCAACATTGGTTGTGTTCACATTCAGTGCTCCTTAAATCTGATCAACTCAATCAACTTTATTTTATAACCGATCAGTGATCATTAAATACAGTATAAAGATCAATACGACTTTTGATCAGATCAAAGTTCAGATAGTTAGTTAGTGCTTGCTAGCATGATCAACTTAACAATTATATACTTCAATAAATGAGACAATGATTATCGATTCACATTCTACACGATATATATTGGATATATGTTATTTATCAAGCAGATTATGGTTGATGTACAGTGAGTGATTTGATTATACATCTCAGTTTCAAATGTTCAACTTCAATTACACACAGTAATTCACACATGAGTGTTAACTGAACAAATCAGATCTGTATGATCTTCAAGTTACTGAATATAATAATCGTGTCATAAATGGGTAGACTCAAATGAATGTCATTTCTGAAACGAGTTTGTTTTGGTGGATAAGAAAGCATCTATAAAATGATGATATTTTCACTAAACTATGTGCACATATTGAGGCTTCAGTTCATACTTATCAAAATATTTATTTGCTCAGTTAAATATGTCTCAAGTACGTGTATTGTGATGTATGATGTTTCATTATAATCCTTTCAACTGATGATTATACAACGTACCCTAATTCGAAATTGTGTGAATATAATTAGATAGAGAGAGGAAAACACATATAAATCACTCGAAAGTATATTGCTATACATAGTATAATCGAGATGTCTCGAACTCCCGACCCCTGGTTTACTAGACCAGTGCTCTATCCACTGAGCTATGGAGGGGCATTGGTGTGTCAACGACACCAGACTCATCACAACACAACTCACAAATATCCTACAACAAACATCTACACACACACACATGCACACACACAACATCACCTCAAAACAAACACAAACAATACACGTCCTACAACTGACTCCATCCACTCTTCCAAACACCACATTTATACATCAACAACAAACACCGACACTACAACTTCGACTACCACAAAACTAGCACGACACCTCAAAATCACACATATTATCAAGTAACATCAACATACTCCCACTTACTACAGACACCTATGAATCACACCAACCCATTCATTATCCTTATCAACGAACACCCCATTAATTCGCTCTATGCTTGGTCAATTGCTCCAAATCCATTCTGCACTTTTATATATCTATATCTTGTGGTGGTCGGTGTTCGATATATTCCTTAAACTCCGTATACAGTTCGTCTCAGTAACCGTCACCAAATAATGCTCCAACGGTATATTAATCAGAAGGCGAATACGAAGCGTTAATTACGTTTATTAAGGGACCACACACAGATATCCAAAATTACAGATGCGTTAAGCAAGCATGAAATAGTTGTGCCGAAAGGCAAACAGGCAAGCGAGCGAGCGAGAGAGAGCAAGGGCAAGAGCGAGCGAGCGAGCGAGCGAGTAGTGAATATGAATAACATGGACATATATATACATAGTGAAATTAATGAATCATCGACTCAATTAAGCGGTTAATAGTAAAGCTAGTAGCGTGAATAAATGCGTAGGCAGTAAGGCTTGCCGAGCATACATATTCATACAAGGATAACAATAATAAAGGTACATACATTCGCAACAGTAATAAGGATACAATAAGTTATTATAGTGCAGGTGACTTTTTCCGTTTAATAAGTTAATAAAAGGGCTTAACCGAATAGATGAGAGCAAACTCAATTGAATGTGAGTTGCTATACACTGAATTCACAACACAAATCATTTATACCTCTTCATCTATTCAACAAAACACATTATTTACGGAAGTTGAAACATTTGATTGAAGATTTTGATGCATTAATAAATCTCATTTGTGAACACTTCATAATTACGAACGACTAATCAGCTAGCTAACTTATTCTGATTGATGAATTATAATCACTGATCCTTGCACTCGTCACTGCTGAAGACCTTATCTGTGCGAATTAAATAACATCAATCTCAGAAAATTTGCTTATTCACTAATTCCCATATCATTTATGATTTGTAAGAGAAGTTAAACATTCCACATGAAATACACATTTGGACACAACTGACAACAATTGACAGAGTCATTAGTGAAAACAATTTCGCCGTTAATTAAATCGTTAGTACTTTTGAATTGTTTAAGCAAACGACATTGGTAAATCGGATGTAAATAGTGAAAACCTGTTTACATGGTGTTTTCATTTACCTTAACACCAAATGTTCTTCTTCGCGATTTATTTATAAATAGATATGCTATTGCCTTGTTATATAGAACTACTTATAATATAAATCTAGTTTAAATAGTCTTTTCTAACTGAATATTGTTCGGCTTGTACTTCAAAGATAAAACTAACAACAATAAATGTATTTCTTCACTCGAAAAGTAGAACACGAAGACAGACGTTAACCCAGTAACTGATTCTCGAAAGCGCTTCACATTATCCACTGATTCACTGAGTCCAAATACCTACCAGCTTGTACAAGTGTAGATGCGTCCACCACACGTTGATTCGAAATTGTGTGAAACTACCCGTTGTTCATGGTAATGATTGTGATTTATCAGTCTCTGTCGGCATATTTGCAACCTGAAATAATGGTCTGGATAGTGATATTGGGTCACAAGACTTCTTAAGTATGGTTGATTTGTGTCTGCCAGTGGAATCTAAGAAACAAGTTCCGTCTCATATGTAACTCATCTGATAGATGTACCTGTATTTCAGTGTCAATGTTTATACCGGAATACAAATGAAGACTGTTCAAAATTGAGTCATTAATGTCAATAGCGAATAAATCAAATCCCTCATAATAATAATAATAATAATAATAATAATAATAATAATAATAATAATAATAATAATAATAATAATAATAATATTAATATTAATATTAATAATAATGTAGACAATTTATGTCGTGATTTATCCACAATCACCTCCAATCTTCTCTCATCTCCAACTTCAATAGGTCGTTCAAATAACACCATCTCATTGCAATCTCATGTACAAAATTGCTTCATATTATATTTCATGACACTGGACAATAATTCTGAATCACATCGATTCTCTCTGTTATTCATAAACGTTCTGATTGGATCATACCTCTGTCTACATGGATCTTATATTTCTGTCTAATACACTCTAGTTCATTTCCAATGATGTCTAACCAGTTCCACTCCATGATGTAAATTGATTTTAGAAAGAACTATACAAAATCAAATGAATTCGTGTGAATAAATGAACAAAAGTTCATCGGAAATCGTCACATTATCGATCGTATCAGTGTTTACATAAGGTAAATCTATGTTACACAATACCACGTGTTACCCACTGAAGCGTCAACAACGGATTTATCAACCCACATTATGCACTGCTCTTGCGGATCTGGAATTCGTAAAGATGACACTGTTCAAGAAATGGTTTTGTTTGTCCGTTTGTACGTTCGCTTGTTTGTTTCATACTAACAGCATCATCCGATGAAATCGCGTATGAACGTAATCAACAATTATCACGATAACAAGAATACTACACAGTATTTATGCCAGTTGACCTGTAGTTTAAGAATCCAAAATCAATTTACTAAATAGAAAGATGATCGACTTTACTATTGATTGCATCAAAATTAATGAATATTTGTGGTTGTGAAGCACTTCAAGCTAACACAAATGGTGAGACTATAAATTATAGATGAACCTATGAGATTTAGGATGACATGTCTTGTATTTTGACTAGAAATTCATTAACCCTTTCGGCTAAGTAGAGTTCTGTCATTTTAGTTGGTGTCAGTACGTTATGATAACCCTCAATCTAGTTCATGATCCTAACAATCAACTGTAAATCATAATTTTAATTCTTCACACTTTTTTATAACACACATCGTGCACTAGTCAGTAGGTGAACAGTCGCAATGTCACTTAACTACAATTAAATATGCATAATTTATTCTCAAAGTAATAATTCATCATGATAATAAGTAACACTGCAACTTGTTTACAAAGTGAATATCTATGTGGTTGGCTCTGTTGCATGTCTTTTGGGTGAGGTCTAGTGAGATCAGTCACTTACTCAAACTGAACTGGGTAAAGTTTGATTTGAATCTGAGATCGAATGTTTGAAATCTAGATGTGTTGATCAATAAGCAAATTGCTCTATAATATTCATGAAACTGTAAGACAGTTAAACATAGTCGACAAATAGCCCTGTTTAATGTAGGCTTTATGTTTGTTCGTAATTGTTAACTAGATGTACTTGCAATATTGGGAGAATCGATGCTCCACATTTGATTTGAAACCATATCACCCAACCAACTGACGTGAAATCTTGGTCCAAGTATTTTTCTATCTATCTTCAACAAATTAGCACACCAATTCAGATCACGAAATGTCTAGTTATTTAGACTGTTGGCCAAATTTTAACTCGATCCATAGAATTTAATCAGTATTATAAAATCATTAGACAAATGTGGCAATGATCACCACAAAGCGGTTAATCAACCACAATCATCATCAATGTTGAGGATAAAAACAGTGGTAATAATGTGTTTAGTTCATATCAATCCTAGTTTTTCAATCAATCATATTGGACATTCAAATGACAATCAACAATTCCAATTTTTATCAGTTAAAGTTGAATAAAATAAAAATATTTAAGAAGGTTCATTCATAGTTACATAAGTAGAAGTTATCAAATACATTGAATTTTTAATTAATGTTTGGCAAGACGTTTCATAACTAATGAGTCACTATGTTGTTGTTTATTCTCATGCTGATCGACACTATATGTATATTGATTTGTTGCAAAGAAATTGATCTACAAACACGAATCGTTTACATTTCGATCTTAGTTAGATAACTACGAAAAACTATGAAGTGATATACCTAAATATATGAAATTTAACTCAACTGATGAGAGTCCATACAATGTTCAACAACCATTATGCTTCAACAGACTATGAATTATACGTTCATGTTTAGTAACTTTGTCATTTAGCTAGTCAGCTTCCTTACACTTATATTGTGTAAACTACGATAACCGATTAATTAAATTATTGATGATTA